CAGTAACTGAGTTACAGATAAGGAAGTAATCGACACTGCACAAACTCGCTTAGATCAAATACACACAGAAGTGTGTCAGCTTTTGTTATTCTCCCCCCCTCATCTTTTTTCCTGTGTTAGTTCATGTCCCTGGTCATATTAAGTATGAGTTATCATGTCATACCATTTAAAAGACAAAATTCTTGTTTTCCTGTTATCTTCCATCAAAATAATGACTTTTGCCCACCTCTAAAACATCTTCTGATTTTCGATTATGTCACCAAGCACCAGCGGGTGCACTGTCAGGAAAAAAAGGGACTGTGCAGGTACATCAAGGTACAAACAATGTAAATTTACCCTTCAAGGTACGTAAAACAGAGGTTTTAAGGTCCAGCTGTACACCTTTAATACTAAAGGTAAAGTGACAAGAGGGGTACCATCTCAGTGACAGTTTAGTACTTTCTTTCTGATAGTGTGGAAAGAATAATACAAACTAATAATATCATGTTTCACTTCCCACACCAGCCACCCTCACCTATCATCAAAACGTTCTGCTAGCTCAGAGACCCTTCCTGATACTATGTTTCTCTTGGAAGTACATAACAACATGGAAGGAAAAAATTCCCGATTCACATTGACTTCAGCAGTCGTCAGTGGCTGTGCTAGAGGTGGGCAATATGATGATATTTTATTGCTATTGCGATACATTTTGTTGTCATAAAAGACAATATGCTTTCCTGAGCATATTATGGATATCATCAGTACTTAAAGAACGCTGACCAACTACATGTTTCATTACAAGGAAAGCATATTTAGTCCAGCGCAGTGTGTGAAATGTTGAGTAAAAATCATTATTTGATGACAGTTTCTAAATGTCTATGAGTCCAAAGACCATGATACATGTCATGTATCATGAAAATGTCTTTAAGTAATGTGAAATCATACTTTTGCCATATCGACCACCTCTAGTTTAGGCCTCTTCAGTGAGGTGAGTGTGTGTACCTCAATGTGTACTTCATTTCAACATGAACAACATACATTACACCAACACAGCTACTGTCAACTAAGTAAACTGAAAGACAAAATTGTCAATATAATGTATTATATGATGATGTACACATCTAAATCAAGTAGTTTAATACATTACATATATTACATTCATCACTGTCGTTGCCCTCTTGTGTACCTAATGTGCAATGATCAAATACACACAGAAATAGTAATTTTAAATATAATATAAAATAGTGCCCTTTACTTTATTTTTATTAAAAAATGTAAGTTTACATTATGTAAACATTTTATGATCAATGAACCAATACAACTGGTCTTTGACTTGCACATTGTTAGGTTCATTTTTCACATCCATTAAATTACCATTTTAAAGATATAAAGTTTTGTTACGACAGTAACGATAAGGTGTTTCCCACATCAACAAAAACTTTGCTAACCTCTTTCACAGAGCACATATCTTCCATTTGGAGCCAGCATCTAGATACTCTCCATAGCACTGTTTGAATAGCTACAGTGATATGGATTTCCACCTGATTATTTCTTGCTTAAGAAGCACAAATGCAATCTCGCAGCAAAATGTAAAATATTGTTAACGCATGTATGGTCTAAACCAAATTTGCTAGTTTTATTTGTTTATGTTGCACATATACTGCAAAGGCAAATGAACTTTTTCCAATCAATTTGGGAAATGAGATGCAAAAAAACATTTCGAGGTTGCCGTGTTATTACTGCCGGATGTGTTTTTCCTCCACAGTTAGCCACAGAACTCTACAGCTGACCTCAAAGCAATTTCTCTCTACTTTTTCTATCTACTTTTCTCACACTCAAACTTCTTGTTTAGTCAGTGTGTCTCTTAGGAAAAGTTTAGGTCATACATTGTGGATTTCATTTCTTGATTTTCCAGCCAAGAGGACATGATATGATACCCAAACACTTTGCAACTGTCTTTGGGTTATATTCCTGATTTATGCCTTTTACTCTATGCTTAACATCCAGTGTTATTTACTCTATTCTTAGTTTCCTGTCCTGTTTAATCAGGGTGTGCAGACCTGGGCTTGAAATTTACTTTCTTGAAGATGGTGCGCAGGTTACCTAACAAAACGTATTTTTTGGGTTTGACCCCTATTTCAGCAGCTCTAGTAAAGCTAAACAGAGGAAACCTGTGGTTTTGACCTGATTTGCACAGTTTGTTTGCAGTTTAGTCTAAATGTTCTAGTGGAAATGTATTTCATCTGCATGGTACATAACTTTTTTAGGTAAAACTTTAGAGCCAAATAGTGACCAGAATTACACACATAGCTGTAGATGATCCCATAATGACTGAAAAAGCTGTAAAACATTGAGAATAATCTACTTATAAAATGACCATCCAGAATTCCTCATATTTATAAAGTGGTGATAAAATCTCAGATAGATAACTTATCAAAAATACTATCATTTAATAACTATTTGGTGTTCCTGAAGAAACTAGAAACTTTAACAGTATTTCAATGTACATTGTATAAGTTAGTACTGAATAAAATAACAGTTAGTATTATTATGACAAGACTTTTCACTAGATTAAAAAAGATAAAAAAGAAGTAACATAAAAATATAGAAGTAAACATCATGCCTTTGTTATACATTTAAAAAAAAAGCAGCTGAAAGTGTTTTTAAATTTAAAAGTACATGTCAAACGGAAGCACACAAAGTGCTTGATAACGTCTTCCAAAGTGTGTCAGAGGAAGTGAAAAAATGCTAGTCTGTAATTACAATAAGCTGACACAAAAAACATATTTGTGGTAAAACATGCGTGCATTACTCATTAAGCAACCTGATCCTAATGAGATAAGGTGTTTTACTAGGTGTGATACTGACTCTCCTGTGAGCGCAGGTAACTGATCCTCAGGGACATCAGCCTATGATACAACAATTACCTCAGTCTCCGCGCCTAGAGTGACACCACGCCTAAAAGCACACTATTCTCCTTCTCCAGCGCTACAGCATGGCCTGCTTCACTCCTGCCTGTTAAAGAGCATGGAGGGACACGTGCGGAGGAAAACCAAAACCGCACACTAAACACGACCAGACCAAAACAGAGCAGAAAGGGAAGCGGGGAGAAAGTCAAAGGAAGCGATAGAGTGGAGTGAAGGAGGGAGGGCAAGAGAGGAAGGGATTGAAACGGGAAGGACAAACTGACGGACACAAAGAGAGGGTGTATGGCTAATTGAGAAAAAAAAGAAGTGGTCAAACAGAAGAAGGCCAGAATGGCAGAGAAAGGAAGAGAGGTACAAAAGGGCACTCAGAGAGCACTTTACACAGAAGTGTAAAGAAAATGAAAGCGTTCTCATGGACTGGGCCGCTATTTTGAAGCACCTAAGTCTGTCCAAAGAGCAAATCTTTCACTTTCCCTCATTCATCACACCTGCTAATCATTAAGCTAATCATCAAGTGTTCTAGAGCTAGAGGGAAAAAAAAAGAGTGCGCAGGCCAGAGGTTCTCTTCGTTCAAGCTCTATTTCATCACCTCTAGTAAAGCTAAACACATAGGAAATTTGTCTGTGGTTTTACGCAATTTGTAATTCAGCCTAATTTTGTAGACCGCAAGAGAATATGTATAATACACGTCTGTATTAAACAAAGATTTCAGTATTTTGTACACAATTCTTGAATAAAGAAACAGTGCTGTTTTAAGTATAACAAAAAAATACTATGATTTTTTATACTAACAATGACAAAAATGAAAAGAAAATGAAAACATACTGCACCTTTTATACATATAAAATGTAGGTAAAAGTTACCAGGCCCCACAAAAAACAAAGCCACTCATTTAAATCTTCCGAACTTCTGAGGCATGCACATTCCTGCTGAAAACAGTACTCAGTGTGTAGAACCACAGTTTTCCATGCACTACCATGTTTTCTCTTAATATATGAAATATGCACAAGGCTTTCTTTATTGTACTGTGTTTTTATCCAAGCGAGCATGCAAGCACATTCAGAACAGTAAGATTTGTTCAATCAGAATAACAATAAAGCGCAACTGATGTGACTTACATTCCCATTCAGCCATTTTCTTATTGAATAAGGTAGTTTGTGACACAAACTGACTAAAAATCTTAAAAATGTAAAGATCATTTTCTATACATATAAACAAACGAAACAATAGTATTCAGATATCACATTATTAACGGAAAAGAGTGGATAAAATGGCAAAAATACCCACATTTTTGTGTCAAACTTAAAGGGTTCAAATTACAAGAACACATGGCATCTTTCACTTTCTCGCATTCACCACACATGCTAATCATTAAGCTAAGTGTGCCAGAGCCAGGGAAAAAGGACCTAAAGTGTGCAGGCCAGGGGATCCCCAAGAATGGAGTTCAGAAAGCAGAATCAGTAAGCAAGAATCTTACTGCAATGCAATAATTCAACTTGGTACAACTTCGCTACAGAGCGCAATTTACTATGGGTGTAAATCTCTAACCTCACACTGATTCTATTCAATTATTACTCTTCAGGAAAGGATTCAAGGCTTTATGAAATCTCATATTTCACAGGCATGTGCCTGTGCCTTCTAAATGATAATTTGGGTTTAACACTCAATCAACACAGATTACTGTTTGCTGGTTTTACAGCTGCTAAAAAGAAAATTCAACAACTATGGTACACTCTCAGTATGGTACACACTCGGTATGGTACAGTCTCAGGCTGTTGTATTTTTATACCCCTAAAAATGTTTGAATAATGGTGCAGTAATACCTCCCATTAATGTTGCAAGGGTATCTCCCATTTCACCCTTTAGAACTGCTATTATACTCCACTTTATTAACTTCACATTTAGTATATACTTCACATAAGAATGACATGTTGCTGATCTGTTGACTATTACAGCCCCTCAACAGATTTGCTGGAAAGTTTGTGGGTGATCACAGCAAACCCAAGCAGAACGTGAAAAAATGTTCACTTTTTATTTAATCACAGTAATACGCAGTATATGCTACTTTTTCACAGAGGAGAAAGGAGTACTCACTATTGTGCACAGTCGATGAGCTGGTACTCGTTGGAGCGTTCAAAGCAGGCCTTCACGCCCTCATCATCCCAAAGCTGTTTGGCATGCTCGAAAAACTCCTGTTAAAAAAGCAGAAACCAAGAAAATCAGGAAAAATCAGGAGCTGCCCATTGTCTTTTCTTAGTTCTACTACTTCATTTTTAGTTGCAAACACATTTCTGGGATACAAAACTGAAAAAATCCAAGAAAAAGTAACAGTTTGAATCGAGACAACCAACAACAGAGTATTATTCTTTGACAACAGTGATAATAATAATAAGAAATTTTATATAGCTTTTGTCTAGTAGTGTCACGCTAACACAAACAGCCTTCATCTGGACTCTATCAGCCCATATAGTTGGTAAGATGGAGGAAAGAAAGGTTAAGGTTGTGGACACAGGGACTTTAGCACTGATTACTGAGATGCTCTTTCACCACTTTCAATTAGTAGGACTCCACCTGATTCACATGTAAAATACATGTTTATGATTATTCATCAGACTTGTGAATTAGCATGAGGTCTCCTTTCTCTCTGTCTGATTCATTTGCCGAGTGAAAGTACCAACAAGGGCTCCAAGAGAGGAAGAGAGGAACTGCCCCCGCACAAATCAAAGCGTTTAGGCCACGGATGTGATGCCATATGAACATTTTGAGCGAATGGCAATGATTGATATGTTCATGCCTGTTTCAGCGTAAAGCTGTAAGAGTTCAGTGCATGTTTGTCTTTAGCAATGTGGACACTAAAATTTTTATTACATTAAAGTATGAATATTGATGATAACAGATCATATTACACAAGCTCAGAAGCTTTGATGTGAAGATAAACATTATGTCATCACTGCAATTTGCTGGAAATTTATCTAGCGGTAAACTCCACAAGCATGTCCGTTTATCCAGAGCATGGGCTAATAATTAATACATCACTATGAGAGCAATAAACATTCGTCAAATCCTACTGAACTGATTCTGATATGGTGATTTTTATGAACCAAAAGGATTGTGCGACTTACAAACTGAAAATACTTATACAATAACTTCAACTGCTCATACAATGATATTTCATACAATTAATTTTTTGGAATGCAAATGCCAAGAGGGTGTTATACCTATTTTAGGCTTATAATCAGTTATTCTAATTAACGCAGAATAAATATTAAGAATTGTTGAAACAGAATTATCCACCGAGATGAACGTCCAACTTCCGGAACGGCCAGCTAACTTAAAAAAAACAAAACAAAAAAACATAGGCTATGAGAGGTGATGCATTTTGCCCATCATTCAAACAAAACTCGCCCGTAAACTTCTCCCCTCCAACTGCCCCCAGCAGAGTACCACAAGGGAGACAAGTAAGTAGGAAGACAGGGAATGAGGGAGGAGAGGAGAGAGGAGGGGGGTCTTTCTCAGAAAGAGACTTGTTTTTCCCTACCTCTTCCTTGGAGAGTAGAGACAGCTATACGGTAATTAGGCCCCCAGTGAGGTTCCATCATATAATCACCACAATACAGCAAAACAAATGGCTACAGAGACGCAAAACAAACCAACGAGAGAATGCACCATGGCCCGCGAAAAAAAGAAGCATCACCACACTTCGCAACCCTTCATGCTCTAAAATGCAGTCTCTACGATCTATTACAATTGTAAGAAGGACAGCAGGCCAGAGCTCATATAAATCAAGCATCTTATAGGAAAAGATAAGCTTTTTCTGCAATTAACTGTCTGTAAAGGGTTATTTATTAAGTTAGCGAAGGCAAAAACTGATCCAAGATTAGTACTCTTGCAATAAATGAATAAGTAATAATTTGGATTCAACTAAATTATAGACATCTTAATGCTCCTTACTTGGAAAATGTAACTATTCTATTAAATATAAACATAACGACAGTACTGTGTAAAAGTCAGAGTCTGCCCTTTATTTATTTCCAGACAAAAGCAGCCATTAAGTACGTTATGAATTTTTAGATAGATATAAGATTAGATATAAGATAATGCACTTGCATAAGGAAGGGGAAAGTCAAAAGAAAAATAAACAGAAAAAAAAACGTTCAAATGTTTCCTAACAACCAAAACTGTCACCAGCAGATGAACAGAACTTGAATCTTTCATCTTTGAGAGAGAGGAAAAAATCTCCACTCTTGCTTTAATCTGAAAAAATCCACAGGTGTTTCTGTCCATGCTCCCATGATGAGAAGGCAACTCAACGTTATGGGGATGTGTAGAATGTGGAAGGATTTGTAGCTGTCAAGAAGTTGTTACTGAGACAAAAAAAATTGCAAATCAAACAAAAAGCTGCTGGTGTTATCAGAACAATGGACCGGCCACCCCAGAGTCCAGACCTCAGCATCTTAGAATGTGTTCAGGATTATTTGGATCAAAAGCAGAACAAAATGCAACCAACTTCAAACTTAGGAAAAATGTACTTGCACTTTTCTTTGAGAAACTGAAAGCAAGTCTCCCAAAAACACTGTAAAAGGGTGGACACCTGAACATTTTTAGATTTAGATTTACTTGTTGAGGCTTCTGTTGAATAGATGTCTTCTGTTTTTTTCATGATACTGAAAAACGAATAATTTGTGCCTAATTGCTGTTTTGACTAGAAAATAATAAGGACTTTTTTGAACTGTACTTTCTTATGTCTGTCAAACTGTCCATCTTTCTGCTTATACCACAAACATTCTTTCCAGTCGGATCTGTGATCTCAATGGGAATCATCTATTTCACACCTTTTGCCAAGCTCTCGAGTTGCTTCAGTCCTTATAAAAATACTGCAGTCCTTATTTCCCCGTTGTGCCACTGATATCACGCAAGGTTTGCTGGCCCCCACCACTGAGTGGCTGAAATTTCTCCATATTCAAATCACACTTAGTCTGCCTGGTGGACTTCCTGGTCAGAGGGCATCAATCTCACAGCTCTATTAGCATTTTCGCATGGTCACAGAAACATAATATTTCACTGTCCTATTGTATGAACATACTAGCCCAACGGATGCATCAATTACATTATGAGCTAAGGATGCCAAATACATAGTGAGTTACCATAATTAAAGGAATATTTTTTGCAAAAAATCTACTTTACATATTTTTCCTTTGCCCCAAATGTAGTCATGTTTGGTGTCTTGGGGTATCTTCGGTTTTGTAACTGGGGATACAAGGATAATTTAGCTAACAGGCAAACTGCTTAAATCATTCCCATAATTATCTCAAATTGTGTCATATTGTAAAGTAATCTTGCCTATGTGGTATTACATACTGTTATCTACACAATTCAGACTTCAAAATGACTGCTACTACTGTTCTTAGCAATATGACACACTTTTGTCCATTTGCTAGCTACATTGGCCTCATAACTCCTAGTGCTAAACTACAGGTGCCATTCACAACATAGCAGAAATATTTACCCTTACATTGGTTTTCATTTTAGTTATTGTGGCTATGACAGTGAATCCATACTACTATCACAAGGTTTTTAGGGTTGGTGCATGGATGATCATGTATTTCATAGCTAATCTCCCATTTCCTCAAGCTGATACAGTCCTCACATTGAAAGTCCAATTCAGTGAACTTCCTTCAGAGAATGTGACCCAGCCTTGGTTTGAGTAACCAGCTTGGTGAAAAAAAAACAACGCTAGTGGCAGCGAGGGTGGTTTTTGTTTGCCCAGGTACAGCGAGGTGGCTTAGAGCAGTGCTCCCTGCTCCTCTCGCACACTCCAGCACAGCAAGAGATGAGGCAATCCCGTTGGAAAACTCGGCGTGACAAGTCGAGGTGTCTGGGGAGCCCAAACAAAAGGAAAACATGAAAACAAACCTTAACGACCATTAGTGGCCTTTCATTCAACAGAGCCGCTCTCTACCTGAGGCCTTCATTAGCAAGTGGAGAAGGCAAAAGAGTCATTAGGAGAGAGGTAAGTAGGGCCACCAGGGCGCATCAGAGACTGGCCTAATGACAGCCGGTGTTGCTTTGGGCCTCCCACATGCCCCGCTGTACTGTCTCCACTATGAACTCCACCAAGAGAGCCCAGGGATCCAACACACACTCTGACACACCTTAACACACATACAGATACAGATATACTTACACATGTACACACTCGCACACACGGGGCAAGACAAGGTTGTTCAGGATCATACTGAAGCCCCATATTGACACCAAGCTGCATGAACAATGCATACATGTGATCTACACTGTAACTGTGTGGACTAACTTTGAAAGTAAATACATTATAGCCAAACATTTAATTAAATCTAAACACAAATCCTTCATCCAATTCAAAACAGACTACTAATTTGCGTTGAAATATGCAAGAGGACAAACACATTCAAATTCAGTTGCTTCCGCCACTCAAATGTTCAAACTAAGGGTGGGCAATATGGCACAAACATACACTGAAAGCATTTTGACAATTTATGATATGTATCATAATATTTACTTTTTCTGACCTTTCTAAGTTAGCTGTTTGTTACTGTACAGGCAGTTACTATATGCTGGTTGTTGTTGTTTACAGGCTTTCTATAACCAGTCTAAATCTTTTTTTCATTGCTCCACCACTGGCCATGAATCAGTACCAGGCTGTGGATTATTTGATACAGGGCTGCAACAATACAGCAGTGAGTAGGGAGGAGTTACAAGAACAAAAAAAGATACCAAGAAGAAAAGCATTATTCTATTGAAAATATGATGGTAACATAAAATATGAATCGCCTTTGGGGATGCCAATGCGTCAAAACCACTGTGTGTGGTGTTAAGAGAAAAGATTGTCTATTTGGAGACAAAACTGCAAAACATATGATACACCCAGAAACGTATCAGTATTTATAATGCTAACAATAACATGTCATCATATTGCCCACAATATGAATTCAAATTGCTCTTCAGCAGTGAGTAAGAAATTCTTCTAAATGATCACCCTGCCATGTAACTCGTACTGAGCCTCCAACGTCAGATATAGGCCTTAAACCTCTTTGTGCTAATTGCCAAAGTGCTACACTAAAGCTAAGCAAAGCTATGGCTAATCACATTAGTCTAACTTCTTTACTGTAGACTCTGTTAGATCTGCTTACACACTCTAAGCCAAATCTTATTCTTA